CCGAATTACACCATTTCAATTTATGAGACAGTCGAAGCAAACATTTGGCAGATACATAAATAATATGCGAGATAACGTTTCAAAGTATCAAACAAGCGTAAATGTTTGGCGACGGGTAGAGGATAACTCGTTTAATTCAACTTGACTTTAAGACTAATTGTGAGGGCAAATTGCACAAGTAATTTGCAGAATATACTCTTCTTACATGCCTCATGGGGCCACGATAAATAATTCAGCCCCCCCCCCCTCGACAGATCTTGAAACTAGCTCTCGTTTCAAGTAATCGTAACCAAGAACCAAAAACAAGCAAGAATTGCAAGGATGGTCGAGCTAAACGTAGCTATTTTTTATGAAGCATTACCGCTAGCTTGATATTAAACCTTCCCAGGGCCCAAGATTTCTCTTTGCGATGATTCATGGGAGGCGAGGTTCAGGTATCAATTTGTACAGCGTCTTTCATCATGTACTCATCATCACCGATTTCTCCCAATTAGAAAGGCACCACTGCAAAAGGTCACTTGCTGGAAAGAAGGCTATAAATCTGCAGCCAAGGATCTCTTGGACTTTGAAGAAGGGTTATCGGAAGTGGAGGAAAGTGGGGAGAACATAAACACGGTGTGTGAATACAAGAGAGGTGTGAGAGCCATTAAAGGTAAATGACCCATGAACAAAGCCATCAGCACGCCAACAAACAACAAACCAACCCAAGAGAAAGAAAAAGCAAAGAGGAAGATCGACTTAGACCGGATAGTGTACAATTAAAACAGTGTTAAATTAACACCGAGGCAAAGATCTCAGTGTAGAATTAACATCAGGTAATTGTAATAATACACATGCGGTTCATTGAACCACAAACGGACATTGAAAGATGTGTTTGGTAACCATCTGATGGATTGAAAAGAATCTGACAGATAATCAGATGCACTTTCTAGAAGAAAATCGACGTATACGAAAACTACAATGCCACAAACTGAACTGTAAGATTAACACTGTAAAGTATAGGATTAACACTGTAAATTGTACGATTAACACTGTCCGGTATTAAACCATATATGTGCAAGCTATACCTCACAGCGTTAGTACTTGAGTTTTCGCAGCGCACCTAACAAAGTTCAGGATACCCTATTCCTGTACCAACTTGTTTCAGAAAAAGCTATTCAAATGCGTTTGATACACAAAGAATTGAACTTTCTAGAGTCTTTCAAATTTTATTTTTTTTATACAACAATGTGTGATCTCAAAGAAAAAACACACCCTGCAGGTTTATCGGGAAATGTACCAACACGAATCGTGTTTTTAAATATTTAGATTTGGAGGCAGTCTCGGCTTTCTTATTCCCAGCCTTGGATGGAAAGGAATTCACAACATGTCAAGAAATGGACGGCGAGAATTGCGGATTGGTTTGCTGGTATATCGACCAGAACAAATAAACACAAGAACGGTGGGTGACAAAGGTCGGTGATCAATGATTGACGTATTTCAAACAAATAGGTTACAGTCAAAAAAAATATACCATGAAGCCAGAAAGATATAACTCCCAATGCAAGGATTGTAAGTTCGCGCTGCCTTGTCTTTCAACTGAAAACGAAATTGGACTGTTTCGAAAAGACATGACAGACAATGTTTGTGTATTGACGATGGAAAAGAACGGAAAGTTATCACATGCATAACTTTAAGAATGTAAGGAACATTGACAACTGTTCTGTTTAAAAGATACTGAAGCGCAAAATGACAATCATGTCAAACGGGTATATGGGAGAAGTCATTAATGGAGGCAAGGTTTCTTAAATAACATTTAGGTATTTAGAATTCTGCATTGACAAGACTGAGCTCCAAAACTGGAGCCAGACTCTTCAAAACTGATGATGTTGCAACTCACCGAGAGATTAAAGGCTCAGACAACTGAGGAGGCTAACTGAACCGACCGCGGTCAACGATGTCTGCAGATCGCTTAAGACTTGTTGAAATTCATCCGAGATGCGAGATTATTCCCTAAATCTTGCCGAGGAAAGAAAGAATGAGGCTTCTACTGAAGATTAGAAAACGAAGGTAGATGCTCAGGTCCTTTTTGTGTGATTGTCTAATGGAATTAAATCAAACTACACTGTACCTTAAATGACTTGTCGCATTTAAATAATTTATTCAGCATATAATAAACTTTTGCGTGAAGCTTCAATTCACAGTGACGAGGCACAGACTACCACTTCAGATTTCCTCATAAAACAGATTTTAGTAATTCAAAAATGGGCTGGCAAGGCAAAATGAAGAAGAAATGTATGGATAGAAACTCAGATTTGTATGAGATATTGAGAACCTGAAGTGCAGGGGATTATAACCATCATGTGCATAGGCTACGAATATGAAATCATATGCTGGAAATTGGACTGGCACTTTTAAAGATTAACATGAAGGTAGATACGCAGACTGTCACTGTCTAACATTGAAGTTATTTCTCCTTAAAGATGTCTTTCTTTTTATTGATTCGGCGTCTGTGAAATACCGACCATAGGTGTGCAAGACGTTCATGATTTATTCCAGAGAAATTGTAAATAAATCAAGGTGTGTTGAGTTTACTGCTGTCCAGTGCCAAAGTTTTCGTAATAAATGAAGTGACGCTAATACAACCCAGAGTTAATATATCTTAAATCATGTACACATACGCTAAGGCCTCATCCTCCTCCAGTTTGACAAATTAACAAGACGAATTACAGCTATGTGGTTCGTTTCCAACTTAAAATAGTGGAACACGAGCGCAGATGTTCTGGAACTGCGATAAGTCGTTTTAAATTATGATACATTATGATAATTTGAGGCGGCAGAAAGGTTAGATCCACTCGTTAAGGAGCTGTGTTGATACCCGCCTGACACGAACTGTAATAACTCACTCCTGAAAGAATATCTGATGCCAACTCATAAACTATGAAATGGATACGAGATACAGTATATGACTTCACATAGCAAAGTTTGTATGGTCTGGAAACATTAATGGGCACAACAAATGGTGGGGACATTTAATTCCATCTTGGAGAACAATTTTAAGAAGTTTACTGACATGGTTTCGGCTGTTGAGGGTCAAAAGGAAATTGTATTTCCTTTAGTTTGGAAATAAAGCCATTTGGTTTCTTAATGATTCTTTGAAACTTGAAATATTAGCTTTACCGAATGGATGTATGTATCACATTACCAATTAATATAAGACAGAGTCAGCATAACTAGGTTTTATGGGGTTCGTATGCACATCGAGGCATTAGATATTACAGAGGGTCATAAAATTCACTGGTACTGTGTTTGTTAATCTGGGCGATGTTTTTACGACGTTGCGTAACAACTTTCCAACAAATTAGTTAGAACTGCGAAGTAGACATAATATTATATTTAAAAACTACTGGATTATTTGATTTTTTGACAAGAAAGATTGTTTACAACGACTGGAAATGCTTATATATTCATGAAAATTGGGAAACTTCCGATTGGTCGGGGCGTTTGTTATCCTGGAAGTCGAGTTCCTGCTCAATTTCGAGAAAATCTTGGCAACAAGCGGGAAATCGGATCGTGCTTTTTCTCCAGCAATATTTAGAGTGAAAACCGGATTGTCCGGTGTCTGTATATTTACCTAGCAGACCTTGGGGAGGTAGGAGTATCCCCGATACGGCGGGCCTAATCCAAACAAAGAATGCCTTCAGTGACTTAGAACGGTATCCCTTCCCTTATCCTTACAAAACTACACCGACTTTTACCCAGAAAAAAACAATTATTCCAAACTTGGTAATTGCCGGTTCAGTTCTCGGATTGTACCGCTCAAGTATCTCAGGCAAATTCGCCTGAAATTTCCAGTCTTTACAGACACAGGAAGCCTCGTCAAACGTCTATAAGGAATCATATTTCATAAAGATTTCTATGATAATTCAGAGGGATATATCGTTAAGAAAGAGGCACATTGTGAGATGAAGAGCGTTCGAGAGCATGGACGGTTGGGCGCCTCTATGCACAGTCAAATGGGTTTCATTTAAAACTCCGTATCGATGATATGTAACACAGTCGCGATGTTTGTTCATCGTTCAAACTCGAGTCTCTGTGCCGATAAGATTAAATTTCACACGGGCATTGTTCGTCTTCTTTTATGCCTGAAAAATTATGGCTTTGCACAATCGCGCGTATCTAATACCTTGGTTTTTTAATTTATGAGTAGGAACTCCGCGTGATAAATGTGGCAGTGCTACCACACTGTTGATACCAAGTTATTTTTATCTCTTCTTTGGTATGATAACTGCGTGCTTTCTTTACAGGCCGAACATTGCGTTTAAAAATCGATTTCGAATGCAAACATTTGACAAAGAGATACGACCTCTAGAAAAGACAGAAAGGTTGGAAAAGCCAAGCTGTATTTTAAAAATATATGAAAGTTATCTTTCATGACGTTGCAGACGATTCATGAAAGCGAAGTCGCTGTCATCGATAACAAAAATTGAGAAATAGTGTGGTTTCGAATCATTAAAATTATCTATAAGACAAATATAACAGACAAATCATGATAATTAATAACTATGAATAGTGATAATTTATTGTTCTGTCACAGTTATCTGAATCAATTTATATTTTGTGATAAAGTTACAAAAAGGTCATTAGGTCCAATATCATCCTTAATATGAAGTAAAACAAAAAACACTGAAGCAAACAAACAAACAAACCACCGAATCAAACTCGAAATAGACATTCTGATCTCAAACGATCTTAAGCAAATACAACATTTAAACGGTTCATTTTCAAAACAAATACCCCTAAGGATTTTTCCAAATAACCACATAATATTGCACATAAACTTGATCCACGCATCACATTCTGACGAAAATAATTGATGTCCAGTTGATGATTATTTATGGGCAATCACTAACCAGCCTCCTCAGATCAAACCGTGATTTCTTTGTAACCCAAAACCATTTACCTCTACCCTTTAAATACACACCATGTTAAAAAATAAGTTCTCCAAACTATTCACCTACCTGAAATGTTTCTAAATCCAGCTTTGTTGTTCTAAAACGGGCACAGATGATTCCACGAATTCACCAAAAGCGATTAAAGAACATCGGGGTTTGTTCCCCTCTACGGGATCGGGCTGCGCGCAACAGTTAGCTGATTCTCAATGCTAAGTTGGCGCGTTTTCAGCTCCAACGACAGACTACATCACTCTATGCAGACGACATCGAGGCATGGAGATCGTCATGCTAACAGACAACTTACATAGCAAACCCAACCAGCCACGACGTACGTGTTCAGTGAGCTGGGAGCCAGTCCCGTTGGTAACTTTTGGCACGGTCGGTGAGGGCGTTCTTCTTTACCCCGATCAATAATGTCCGAAACGAGAACAGCCTGTCACGTGACTGCGCTTGGTCATCGAGTGAAATAAGGTGGTATTAAAAAAAATACAATTTTCTAGATCCCCCTAGAAACTTAAAATGAGAATCGATCATTTTTGAGTGGCAACCTTGGAATGTCGAAGCTATTTAGGGAGTGAGTAGCCTTTACATCATGCTTAATTGTGTAGTTTAACTGAATTTGCCTGAAACATGCATCATGCATTTTAACCAACTTTTCCATCCATATTTTTGATTGCATTCAATCTATATCGAATCTTAAGACAGCTGTACTTTTTGTTGAAATTCATTTCCCCACTAACCCCTCGGCCTAATTTCGAAGTGATCTGAGATTTATTCACCTTTTTCTTCCGATTTTTTTTAATTTAAAATTTGGTGAGATATTTCTATCGGGTGAAGATCTTGTCGCCTCTGCGCTTAACCCGTGGTGGATCGGGGTGCAGATCCACGGAGCACGGGCGTGAAAATATCGGGGAAATTGCCCCGGACGATCAGCGGGTTAGCAGGCTGGCCAATTATGAATGATCGCTTAAGAGATGGAGAGTGTCTGGAAGACATGCACGAATTCTTTAAGTGGTTTAACCAATAAGCAAGACTCGCCGATAGTTTAATAAAAACGGCTCTCTGTGATTAACTGTCAATTAATAAAAATTGAAATATGTTTGTAATCAATCAATATATCAGGGCTGCAATTAGAAACTGCCAAAAAAAAAAGGCGCAGCACGTTTTCAGTGACGGATTTAGGTTTAACCTTTCCAGTTTTTCTGCCACAATTGTCAAAAGATCTCCGCTTGTTTCGTTTACACAAACAGCTTAGGTAAGCCTCCCTTTTGAGGCTGTGCTAGTCCTCAGTCCCAATGACATTTTACCGCCGTGATTTGCAGGGGATATTCCATTCTGTTTATTCGAACTCGGAGTCATTTGGAGGTCTCATAATGTCAGCTCTTTGGGGTTTTGTTTGTAACGGAGGCAGCTCGGTTTTCAAACTAAATACGGCACGAAGCAGTAATATTATGCTATCGAATCCATTATAGAGCGTTCACGGACGGATCAGGGGAGAGCGTTAGATGCAGGGTCGTGTGGGTTTGTTTATTAAGGTTTCAGGCATGTGTGGTGTGGTCTTCCAAGCGTGTCGCCTGCTCTTGCTATACACACAAAACCATTAGCGAACTATCTGCTTGATTTTCATGTTAGTCGGCGCGAGATGCTTGCCGTATTACCGAAGACAAAACGCGATAAAATAAATCATGATCAAGTGCACTTGTAAAATCACAATACAGTTTTTGTGAACAAAATGGGTATTACTAGACAAACATTGACGATAGTCTTAACGACACAAGCGATAATGACATCGACACTGAAGAAACGATGAGGGCGGCAAAGTTGACAATTTAAAATCAGTACAAGTCATGTAAATCACCAACCGACAGTGACTTTGACAATAACAAATAATCAAGGTATTTAATCTTAAAAAAGGTCCTACAGACCACCGAAGCATTAATGTCATTAAACGGAGGTAATAATAGGAAATAAAAGCAGGAAAAAAAATGGAAATCCTATTAAAATATTGAAAACTTTCAAGCCTGATAAAAGCGCTTAGTATCAAGACCAGAGGCTGTTGATAAAACGGCAATATAATTCGTGGGCGGTGTGTACGATAGTTCTGTCTGCAAGAATGGTTAAGGCTTAACTCGCGAGTCAGCGACGGATGTTTCAAGTACTTCTTCTAATCCTGGAAGATGACGGGTTGGCGATAAATCAATGCGTTCATGGGCAAACCTCGTCTAGAATTACATACTCATTTCCTGCTCTTCTGTGAAGGGAGTTATTTTGTTTAATTACACCCAGATCATCTTCAGTAAAAAGGCCCGGCAAAGCCTTCCTGTCATTAAATACAATTTTGTTCAAGAAAAACAGAAAAATTACCGATTTAACCTTTTGACTATAGTTTGTGATTCATTGAATGAGAACTCAAATTCACTGACCAAAAATGAAATGTGATTCTCATTCGCCTCTCAGTCTGGCGTAATAAGCACATGAATGTTGGCGGACCAGAAATGCATGGTGAAAAAAATATTAAGCGAATTACAAGTCATAAAGAAGAGAGAAAAGAGGGTGCGATATAATCAGTCTACTTCTCCCGTCATATAGGCCTACCGATTTAAATGACTCCCATTCCCTACCCCTGGGGAGAAGGGGGGGGGGGGTGGGGAGAAAATCTCGGCTGTTTTACCGCCACTGATCCCCTTGCACGACACGGTCCTGATTCCACGCCGTGAACACACACCATTCTCTCTCTCCTGCGGTTTGACAATATCCGGAGCGTACCAAGTCATGCAAGCACTGGCGGAGGTTATGTGCGTATTAAACCTCTCTACTTCGACCACCGCCCACGGCTTCTCACTTCTCCCGCTTATTTATTCCTTCTCGTTGTGACACCATTTCTATTAGTCGATATGACTCAACAGTTATAAGCCTTAGAATTCACTCATATTTGTTCATTTTGAATTTTGCTTGTGCGTTGTTTGTTTTAATGTAACAGCTTTTCTAGCAATATGATAACACACCTTACTAGAATTTATCACGCCTAAGTTTTCACATTACAGATAATTCAGAGTGAACGCCGAGTTTCAGATATTATGAATTGTTTAAATACTTTCAATATTGTGAAAACAAAGCATTTTACATGTTATTCAACATATAAAAATGATGTTTCGAAATGCGGTTCTACAATAATATTAAACGACAATTAAACAAATATTGAGATAAGCATCATCACCCAAACATTAATGCTTTCGACATGTGAAGACGAACCATTTTAAAGGTTATTTACTGTACCAAAATGAATGATCTTGCACAATGCGTTTAAACGGCAATTTAAAAAAAAATACGAGCCCTTCTTTCGATCATGTTTCTGAAAAATATTGAGGTAAGCGTCATTTCCCAAACATTAATCAAAACTGGAGCTGGGAATGTCAGTGAATGTCCGCGCGATTTATGTTTTTGTCCGGCGGCATGTTTCATCCGTTCTGATCCACCGTGGGCCCCAACACCCCTCCAAAATGAAAAACGGTTCCGTGGCCAATCAGAGATCGTCTTCCGTATGTATTTACAATCTAAACAACAGGTGTTTTGATTGGTCGAGTCGGGGTGCCTCTTCCTGCTCACAAAACCAGTAATTGGAAGAAGTAGAGAGATGAGGGGAAGAATCCAGGTAATAATCAATATTAGCCAGAGAGCGAAGATTTGTCGGTACTTAATATTGCTCTGAGCCATAATTTAGACTTGATGACACCACGGAATGAATCCATAAGGCTTTTCCCCTCTCTCCTATTTTTGTCTGTCTCTGCTTTTCTGTCTCCGAGGCCGAGACAATCTCTGGTTTTCTTTTCATGATTAGTCTTTGATGTGATTGATAGCCCACTGACCGCCAGCACGACCAAAAGGACACCATTTTAGCCATAGAAAACGAATCCAAACCTAAAATTGAATACAACAAAAACTCGGTCCAGAGACGCGTTTAATTAATTCCCGCCAACTCAGCTCACCTTTAATAACCAGGAAGTTCTGTCCGTAAGCGTTCAATGAATTGGCAAATATATGAGGGAAATATTAGGCCTCAGCCCGGTGATATTTTGGTGAGGCAGGACCTGAGTGGGATTTTGAAGTCATACGCATCGATCTCATCATGGATTTATTGAGGACAGCTATGTGGAACGGGACCAACAATTGCATATTATTTCAAACAGATGAAAAAAACATTTGTCGAATAATGAACTCGGTTTTGTTAGTTTAGAGATAAAGACTAATAGGAATCAGTTGGTCTAGAATTGAAATTGAAATTCAAATAATTTATCTCTTTTGTATTGTTTTATAAATGTTGGTACATTTAATATTACGAATGTCCAATAATATCACGAATGTCCAAAAAGGTTGAAGCTATTTTTATGCTATTGTATTTGTAGAAAGTAAATATGTTCCATTTAAATTGAATGTTTTACTTTCACACACAAGGAAACTGAATCAAAAAATTGGCGAACTATATTTTCGCATAACTGACCTTGCAAATTCGTATTTAATATCTTTAATTTGAAGACTGTTTTCGAGCAAGATTTCTAGGTGTGAAACAGAAATGCCGTTCAATTTACGAAACAAGAGCAGTAAGTATTTGTCTTACGTGGTCGACACAGGCTACACGCCGGGCACTTGAAGGTAAATAATTTGCAAGCGTCTTTTCAATCCCGAGACAAATCCTTCAATTACTTTCAAAAGGATGGAACGGATGTGGTTCTCTAGCCATTCAGGGAACCTAGAAGGTTTTTAATCAGCGCACGTTACAAGGCAATATTGCAGAGTTTCCATCAATAAAGTTGCTTCTTAATACATCAAGGCAAAAATCTGTATATGGGTAGTTGTCTGCAAACGGTGGGGGTCTTATGCATTGAGTCAACACAGGCTTCCGTCTATTTATGCAATTCTCAATCAGGCGACGATTTGTGATGGGGCACTACGCCTCAGGCGTTGAATTGTTTTTAACCACTCAATTTTTTTCCCTTCCAACCATTAACGATTTGAGTGCCGTTAACCCGAATGATGGAGGGTACTCAGACATTATGGAAGAAAACAGGTCTTTTGTAAGAATGTTTCGGGGTAAATTAAAATTTTGGAAAAGCCGCAAGAAAGGGGTTTTTGGTGACTCAATATTTTTTTTCTCGATTTTTCGGAGTTGTAATTCAACACCGAAAGTTTTCTCAATAAAAGGGGTTTTCAATTGAGGTTCATTTGGAAAATCTTCAGTCTTGCAATTTTCTTCGAATCAAGAGCGCCTTCTTCTAAAATTTAAAAGAGGATGGCGTCAAG